CCCGCCGCAGCCCCCTCCCTCCACCCGGTGCAGGCTGCTGGAGGAGCCGAGCTCAGCCCCGCCTGGGGGCTTAGAATCATCATCAGTTCCAATCGACACATCTTTTCACTACCTCAACCACTTCTCTGGGCAGTCTGTTCCAAATCTGACCACCCTTTCGGTGAAGAAATGTCCCGGGCTAACTTTTCTTCTAATTGCACTTTTAGAAGACTCTAGTGTCTGAATTTGTTAAAATATTTACTTTATAGCCAGCCAGGCTCTGTGGGCTTCAAGGTTTTAGTGTTTTTGAGTCTCACCAGGTGCAGGGACAATGAGGAGCAAGGCCTGGGCATTTGACCCAGGCTGGCCAACAGGATTATTTCATACCATGAACGTCACATTCAATATAAATTAGAAAAGTTTGCTGCGTAGCTCTCTCTCCCTTGATGGCAGTGGGTCCAGACAACTCCTTGCCCTGGTGCCTGGCTACAACCTCCTTTCAGGGTGTTGTAGAGAGCGAGAAGGTCTCCCCTCAGCCTCCTTTTCTCCAGACTGAACGGCCCCAGTGCCCTCGGCTGCTCCTCACAAGACTTGTTCTCCAGAGCCCTCACCAGCTTCGTTGCCCTTCTCTGGACACATTCCAGCACCTTGATGTCTTTCTTGTAGTGAAGGGCCCAAAATGGAACACCTTATTCAAGGTGGGGCCTCACCAGTGCCGAGTACAGGGGAATAATCACTTCCCTTGTCCTACTCACCACGCTATTCCTGATACAGGCCAGGATGCTACTGGCCTTCTTGACCACCTGGGTCATTTTCAGCCGGCTGTTGCCCAACACCAAGCCCTTTCCTGCCAGGCAGCTCTCCAGCCACTCTTCCCCCAGCCTGTAGCGCTGCATGGGGTTGTTGTGACCCAAGTGCAGGACCCAGCACTTCACCTTGTTGAACATGAGACCACTGGCCTCAGCCCATTGGTCCAGATCCCTCACTCCTGTGCAAATCCCAGGTGACTCAGGTGGGGCACCACACAGGCTCACGGGTTCCAACGCTTGGGAAAAGGCTTTTTTTTTTTAAACAAACTCATAAAGCAGTGTCTCAGTCATTACACGGAGCAAACAAACAGCTGCCTTGCTGGAAGACACTTTTGGGAGCAGCCTACAAAAGCTTCACACAGCACTGCTGAATGTATGTAGCGGGTAGCTTGGATCTTGACAAAACTCAGCAGTCATACAAAGCTACCACACAGCTAAGTACTTTAAATTTAGGTGGGTAATTATGCCTTCATTCTGTATTCTTTTTTTTCTTTATAAATTGTCTTCCAAGACCTTTGTCTCCGCTCGGGCTCCGGTTTTAACTTTTCCACACAATTAAAGCGACCGTTACCTGCCAGCGGCAGTGACCCACCGCGGGGCGGGGCAAACTTCACTTCCACTGTTCCTGAGGGGAAATCACCCATTTCAGACGTGTTCCGGCGGGGAGTAAAGGGGGACACAGCCCTGCAGGCTCGCAAAGCGTTAAAGCCCATTGCTCAAGAGCTTTAGCTGAGCTCGGGCCGGGCGCCGGTTTCCCGCCCGCCGCTCGGGGCCGTTGCCAGAGGAGGAGCCCAGTGCCCCTTGCGGGCGGCGCCGGGAGCCCAGGGCAGCACCCGCCTTCCAGAACCTTCCGGGTGGTCCCCGCCGCCCTGGGGGCCCCCGGGCGCGTGAGCCCCCGCCGCTCCCCCCGGTACCTGCTCCCCCGGCGCTCAGCCGAACCGATCCCCACAGCTCT